GATTTAAGACTAGATTAGGATAAAAGCTACCTTAATATAGTACTAGGATATTTACTAGCTTACTTAAAGTAGGTAATAGTATTAGTATTACCTATATACTTAAGGTATTAGCTATAAAAGACTAGTATTAGCTTACTTATAGTAATAACCTAGTATAAGTACTTAGTAGGGTAGTAAAGAGGTAAGGGGGGTAGTTAGCTAGATTAGTATTAGAATAGAGGTAGATAATAAATAGATAAAGGTTACTTATATTATTAGTAATAATAATAATAGTATTAAATTAATAGGGTTAGGGATAAGATAAGGCTAGGTATATATTAAGAATAAGGTAACTTATTATAATAATAGTAATAATAATAGTTAAAAAATTTTCTTATTTTTCTAAGAAGTATTAGTAATATTAAGATAAGGCTAAGGGTAGCCTAGATATAGCCTAAGAAGGTATATAAGGATAAGAAGAAGGGGAGTATATAAATATAATAATAGTAATAATAAGAAACTAATAAAGAAAAGAGTTAGTATAGTTTAATAGCTAAAGTAAGAATAGCTTAGCCTAGGTAGGGGTAAGGGTATTAATAGGGTATAGTATATATACTAAAAGTAAGGAAGATATATAATTATATATTATTAAGAAAGGAAGGAAAGGAGTAGAAATTAAGGAATTTAAGGCTTTTTAAATATTATAGTAAATAGGCTAGCTAGCTAGGTAGTAAGCTAAAATAATAATAATTAAATATATATAGCTATAGCTCCTTTTCTACTTAGTATAGTAAATATAATAAACTATATAAAGGTTAATATTAATTTAAAGGCTTTAAAAAGGTATAAGAATATAAATAAAGTAATTATAAAGTAAGAAGTAAAAATAGGTATAGAAGTATATAGAAGTAGGAGAGTAATAAGGCTATCTTAACTAGTCTTAGTATAAGTAAGGCCCTATAAGGGGTAAGGTTCTTACCTATTTAGTATAAATAATATAGAAAATAAACTATAAAAGCTAAAAAGAAGAATAATAAGGGTAGGTATTATAGCCTTTATAGCTATTATTATACCTACTTATACTTTAAAGTATCTAGGGATTAGGATTTAAAAGGGACCTTAACTATATATAGTACCTAGCCTAGGCTAGGATAAGGCTATAAAGGGAGGAGGTTAAAGGGGTTAAGTAGGGGATAAGTAGGTCTATTAGCCTACTAAGTTTTATATATTTATACCTATTATTATTATCTTTTACTAAGATAAGGAGTATACTACTCCCTACTAGGAATTACTCTAGGATTATACTAAACCTATACTAAAGCTAGGGTTTTTCCTCTAGGTACTCTAGTTTTTTCCCTATCTTATAAGCTATAGAGGTACTAGATAGACTAGCTAGTCTAATTAGTATAATATAATAATAATAATAATAATATAGAACTAAGTAATATAATATAAATATATATTAATTCCTATATAAATCTTAAACCCCTATAGCTATAGCTTTTTATAGCTATTAATAGACTAAATCTAATTAAGACTATAGGTTTTAAAGTCTATATATAGTATTTCTACCTATTTTTAATAATCCTAAAGGTTTTTAAAGGATACCTTATAATAAACCTTATATAAAGTATTATAGCTAATATTAATACTAGCTTTATATATATATACTATAAGGAATATTTAGCTATTATTAATTATATACTACTTAGTAGTAAAATTATTCTAAAGATATACTTATACCTACTTTTATATAATATCTTAATATATAATATCTTATTATTAGTATATATTTTATTAATAATAGATTAAGCTAACTTAAAATAGTAATAATTAGAAACCTTTATTAAGTAGTTACTTATAAATATTAAAGTTAGTAAGGTTTTAGGTAAAATATAATATTTAGATATATTTAGTAAGTTTATCTTAGTTATTTATTTATACTTATAAGTAAATATAGTTAGTTTATAAAAAGTATTATAGTGTTTAAGGGTAAATATTATAGCTATAATTATCTTATAGGATATTATAAATCTTCTAATATATAAAAT